AAGAATTTAAGGCAATAACGGCCAACTTTAGGTAAATGAGATATCAACTTTTTTTGTAAATAAATTCCTATTGCACCCATAATTTTCGGGTTTCGGCCAGATTTAAATTTCCACTGTAATACTGTCTGATTATTAACCGGATATCTTCAACCCAAGGCACTTTAATTCTTTGAAATGGAAATTATTGTATTTTGCTTGCCTATTTTTTCCGATCTTATTTTGGACCCTTTCATTCTAAGGGAGCATGAATAATTAGTCATGGCCAAACACATTTTGGTAAATAGAATCTCAACTTAAAGACCTACACCGGGTTAATAAGTTCGAGGTACAATTAATAAGTAAACAAAAGAGTTCCTTTATGAAATGAAATCGTCTTGGGTATCGTAGATAATTATTTAGCGTTCAATAACAAAAAAATGCATGGAAAGGTTTGTAAGACTAAACAATGGGTATCTTTGCAGCTTTTTGCACTAACAGCTCGAAAACAGGAATTTGAAGAAACTTGCAGTCTCTTAAGGATCATTCTGGGTTAACATATTGCACCACATATTGTCAATCCGTCCAACAATAGTACATGATTAAACAGTATCTATCTCTCAATTATTGATTCCATATACAAATGTATTTAGTTGTTTGAATATTGCGTGTGTATTTCGGTATTTAAACACTGGTCGCCCATCATAAATCGCAAAGTTGCAGCGGTCATTGCTCAAACTGTCTGGATACTATCCAATGTTTTTGTAGTTAAGATTTAGTAAGATAAAATACATGATTACGTCTGATTTGGGACACTGCTCCCTAAAATACATAGTTAATTTGAATTGATTGGCAAGTTTAATGCGTTCTTAACCTGGTTTATCCTATAATATACCTCTTTCATTTTTTGCCTAATTCACTGCTGATATACCACTTATTGTTCTTGTTCAATGTAAGCTATCCATTCGATTTGAAAGGAGACGAGGGATATGAAATTTTTTTGGGTATTTATATTGTACTTTAAGGTTTGTATTTTTAATTCCAAATTCTATCCACATTAAGTCTTTCTTTTATGCTTCGTTCAGTATCACAGGAGCAGAGCAACACTTGTATCGAATACATCCAACAATTAAATTTCTGGTACCGTACCGACTACATTCTGGATTTACCCTCATAAGGAACGCGCAAAGCCAAAAATTTGAAAGTCAGAAGAATTACTAAACCATGCTAATGAAGAGCTACACGACCAAAGGGACCTTAAAGATATAGCATATGCATGTAGTCTTCTGAATTGAAATAACAAGAATATTAATAAAACAGAAAACAGTCCTACTTTACCTCCATAATGTCAACATTTTTTGTTTTCAAAAATAAGATTTTGTTACCTTTCCATCTTCAATCATTTCGTATCGTGCTTGTTTGTTGATGCTGAAAGATAGATGAACAAACATGATGTCCTAAGTCAGGAGCCTGTTGTTCAGTGGTTGTCGTTTGTTGGTGTGATTCATAAGTGTTTCTCGATTATCGTTTTTTATATAGATTAGACCGTTTTTTCCTGTTTGAATTGATTTACACTAGTCTTTTTGTGACCCTTTAAAGCTTGCTGTTCGGTGTGAGCCAAGGCTCCGTATTGAAGGCCGTACCTTGACCTATACTTGTTTACTTTTTACACATTGTAACTTGGATGGATAGTTGTATTATTGGTACTCATACCACATCTTCTTATTTATATTTACAACAATATGTTATTATTGAAACCGGGCTGTTTATAACAATACATGTGCATTTCTCGATTTTTCCAGATAAGTATAACTTGTTATCCTACGTACAATGTACTATAACTTCAGAAATTATTGTGACGTTTTTACTAATAATGCGAATAATGCGACTGGGTTAGGATCGCAATAATAAGAACTCGCATTCTAATAGACGTGTTAGGAGAGGCTCTGGATTTTAATACTGCGCTGATGTTAGATAACAATATCGATACAAGATTTAAGTGTGGACTTTCTCAAGATGCAATTGCATTGACAAGTATCCTGGCTAAGTATAGTATAGCTTTGTGGTGTGTCTGATACAATATTAAGCGAACGAGTAACGTAAGACGTGCATTGGCCTTTAGTAGATCTTCATACATTCATTTGTATTTATTTGATTTAGGAGTGCAAAACAAAACTTTAAAAACTTATTATATGTAAGGGTCAAGAATGGGAAGGACAGATTTTACGGCCACAAGTATAAAAATATATACATTAAATAATATGAGTAGAATAGGTTTAATGGTCAAATAACTCAGTTTGTCTCTCCACATGTCCAGTACACAATTCAACAATTTGTTTTGATTCGTGTCTTGGATGTCTCCACAAAGTTCCGACAACCCTAAATGTTTTAACGTCTGATCGATGGCGTGTTCTACATAAACTTTAGTTTTTTGAATTTTCTTTTTCTCCCTTGCGGTTTTGTCTTATTTGGTGTCTCCTATATGGCGTTACCATTGTTGGACGGTTCACATAAATCTTATCACCTAAAATAACACATATTGGAGGAAAATCTAATTCCACGTTAGTTCCAATTCTTGGAAGAAGGTTGTCTTGCTGCGCATCGTTTTAATGTTCAAGCAAACCGCTTTTAACGAGCAGTGTGCGATTTGTATTGTCTACTACTATCTGGGTATGGATGCAATGAATGGACAGAAAGACGAACGAACGAAAGAACGGACGGATGGACTCATCCACCCATCACTATATACCGTCCAATTTAGAAAGCGGAGTATATAGTGAATAGTAGGCAAAACAAAATGAAGGAAATCGAAAAAAAAATATAAAAAAAATTGGCCGACATATAATTTATCAGGCTTTGCGAGAGGTGACAATGAATATTCCATTTTCAAAATATTCTCCTGACCCAAAGATAATAAAATTAACTTCTACATATGAAAGTTTTAACGCCACTTTCATCAATATCTCAATAGATAAAATCGTGATGTTCTGTTTTGTTGGTGGAGGAAGCCGTGATAACAAGCAAAAAATTTCCGACCCTTCATCGAAACGTAAAATTTAACATGCTTGAATAGTGCCCAAATGTGTAATCTTTTAAAACTTAATCGATAACCTCTTCTGTCCGAAAAACTAACTGACAAAAGTTGATAGAAAGAAAATGTGGGTTAAAATGTGAATTTATTCACACATTTTAACGTGTTTGTTTTAGGTATTGTCCCTTTTCAGCATTAAATTTAATTGCCATAGTGACCTTTTCTAGATCAAATAAAAAAATATTACAAGATAATCAAATTTAATACACTTTTGTTTCATTCTATATAATATATTATTTTTAAGTACACAAATTTCTATTTTTTTTTATTAGAATTTAAAGCTACACGTTTTTCTATTCTAGAAACATGATATAAAATAAGGAGATGTGGTATTATTGCCAAAGAAGACAACTATCCACCAGAGACAAAATAACGCAGATGTTTGCAACTATAGCTCACCGTATGGTCCTCAACAAGAAGCAAAACCCATCCTGCATAAAAGCTATGAAAGGCCCCGACATGAAAAGTATATTTTAAATATATTTCAAATAAACGAACATTTTGAACAAAGTTTGATGTAAAAAAATCGGATTCGGATGTGATTTGATTGCAGTGTTTTTTATAAATTCATTTAGTTTGATCACTTTGCGGATTTTCTTTGTAGTCGTTCAACAAAATATCAAGAAAAGGGGGAACAACGATCTTATTGACTCTCCAAACACGTCTAATATCTGATACATATATCGTGTGTATCTTTAATATGCAGATTTTATTGACATCTCAAAAATAAAACTCACATTTTTGTCATTTCTTCAAAAATCGCAATAATAAATGCACTTTACAATTTCAAAATTTACAGTATTCAATACTTAGAAAAGATTGATTTTTATTTGTATTATTCATACTTTTTTATTAACATTAATAACACTATTCTGTGCAATATATATGTTATATATACAGATTGATATAGTATTTATAAACATGTAGACACTCTAAAGAAATCGTATCTGTGGTAAAGTGGATATATCGTTGGATTGATACCATAGGGAAAACTACTTGTTTAGAATAAAATATATTTCTAAATTTAAATCTATCTATTTATAGTATTTTCCACAGCATTAAGCACAACACAAGAGAAAGAAGTCACATTTAATACATATACTTCACTGAAAATGCATGTGATAGTTTGTGTTAAAATAAATCAAAACTTTACTTATAGGTAAATAATTCGAGAAGAAAAATGAACAACACTATAGTTTAGCTAGTACAGGGAATCACACTATCTAGAGTACCTTGAATAACAAATGAAATACTCAAAATAATAGTAAGTGTGTCACTTGGTTATTTAAATATACATTATCGATCCAATTAAAATAGTTTATAACCGCATAGCTTACACATATACCCGGATGATCAATTCAACCTGTAAACAGGGGTGTCTTTAGGATTTAAACTTCTGAATTTAATAAAACAAAATATAATAACGAAATAATTATACTATTTTTGCTATCATACATATATGTCACAAACATATTCATTGTTTGTTTGCCATTTGATACTATAATTATTGATATGGATGTAAAGATAATAACACATATTTAATCCATAACCCTTTTCAATACCTCAAGTTAGATACCTGAATGATGATAAAGAAAGTGTTGGGACAATTGTTTCTAATGTTAAGAGATTTCTGTTTTGAGATTTGGTTTATAAATATGTGTCAATGTTTGTATTTGACATACAATTAAGAAAGGCTTTTCTAAATTATTATTACAAGATACCTACAAATTCTTCTACAATTAAGGGGTGCCGTTCAGACAACACAACAATCTTTAAATTCTACAAAGCGCGTGTATGTTACATTTTTAGCTACCGTCTAGTCAGAATAAATAATGCTCTATATTTTACGATAAAAAGAAAGGTTAAACATGTTAGAATGCTGCTTTTCATATAACACAGAAACCCTCGAGATCGCCTCTGAAACAGAAGAGGACGCCATTTAACGACATGTTTGGCTGTTTTATTGAACAGATGAATTTCTTATCGTGTCTCTTGTAAGGGAATCATGTTTTCAACGGACCTCATAGTGTTAAAAATATGTGAAAATGGTAAGGTAAATATTTTACTAACATGGTCTTCGGTTAAAACATGCAATAACATATTTTGTAATTATAAATGTCCCCCACCTTAGCAGCAATATGCCAACTTCACCTACATATGGGATATTCATTTCCCAATTTATTCGGTATTCAAGAGCTTGCATCTGCTACTCAGAATTTATGAAATGTCACCAGTGTCTGAGCAAAAATGTGATGAACCAGGGTTGTTCCAAAGAACGTCTCGTCCTTTTTCTAAAAAAGTTCATCGGAAGATACTAAGACCTTGTTGATAAATATTCCGTATCAACTTCACAAATAATACATGATGGTTTTGACGTACAGATTCTAGGTATTGAAGTTGTTTATCGTCTTTATTACGTGTTATAGTGTTCTTTTTATTTGTCGTTGTATATTTTTAACCTGTTCTGTTTAGTCCATTTTTGGTAATATCCTTTTGGCGGGGATTGGTATTTATACATCTCGCCATTGTGTTATTGTGCTATGGTCATTTTTTGTATTCTTTGTCTTTCATTTTTACTTATGTGCTTTATCTATAGAGTGCCTTCATGTCATTTTGTTTTTCTTTGGTGACATAGTTGTTTGTTTTTATAGAGATTAAGATTATAACACAATGTTGTCTGCTGTACCCCAATTTTAACCAATAATGTCTGTTTGTTTTGCTCACACGTTGTGGTCAATATAATGGAATTTTATGCGACTGTCATACAAGTAAGAGGTTAAGCTAGCAATAAACCAGGTTTGATTCACCATTTTCTACATAAGGAAATGTCTGTACCAAGTCAGGAATATGACAGCTGTTTTCTATTCGTTTGATGATTTTGCTATTTGTTAAGGGACTTTCCGTTCGAATTTTCCTTGGAGTTTTGAGTTTTTGTTATTTTACTTTATACTAACATTAATGAACATATATATAAAAATGTCCACTAGCATTTAAACAATATGCAAATCTTAGTCTAAAACATGCGGAATTTTGCTACCTTGGAAACCCTAGGCCTTCATTTAGATCACTCTTTGCTGAAAGTAAGTTAGAACAAAGATAAAACAATATTTGAAATCTTAGCTCCGAATAGAGCTAAAGGGAGTAGCCAAATTAAGTCAAAGAGAGTCAACTTTGCCTCTTAGTTAGCAGTAAAAGAAGCCATTTATCACCTGAAATTTAATACGTAGAAATTATGAGTAAAAATGATCCCATGACATGGATAGAACATTCTCCTCAAAAGCAAAGTTAGTTGCAAAACCAGATATTATGGCGCAAAACCTTCACTATTTAACCAGTCGATACTTTTGTCACCTCTTTATTAAAGAAGTTTTGAAAAAGAACTTCCTGTCAATAATGGGATGGACTTTCACGACTTTCTCTAATATCTAAATTTGTTTAACAATTTTGTAATTCAGGAGTACCAAGTTGTTTTGGTAACAATATTTATTAGCTCGCCTAATATAACTTTGCAAAACTTGACATGTAACTGTTCACATGGTAAATTCTTATTCTTATAACATCAATCCTATTTAAGTGCCACTGAATTAGAATAGCGGGTTTGCTTATTATTATTAAATACATGTAATTAAACCAGTCTATATCGGATTTATACTTGAACATTATTTTCTTAATTTGCAACATCCTTTCAGTGCTTTTTTTATAACGCCAATTTAAGTTAATGAAAAACTTAATAAAGCTGAAATAATGTATACCCAGATATTTATAACTGGACACACATCTTTTTTTTAGATTCAATATTTTTCTAAAATTTTAAGTTTGTATTGCAATCCCTCTAATTCAGTTGAAAAAGTAGAACATCATCTGCAAATATTAAGCAATGTAAATCATTACATATACGTTTCTCAGAATCAAAGCATGTTTGTAGATATGATGGGAGGTCGTAAATGAAAATCTTCAACAGAGTGGGACTTTAATTGTCCCCTTCGCGAACTCCCATTTCCACAGGAAATGATCTGGTAACCGAGTTATCGCCCTTTACTATAATATTATTTATAATATTGTAAATTTTCCCATTTATTCGTGTGTTACAAGTTAAGCTTCATACCAGTATGAATAACACTATTAAGATTAAATAAGTAGTGTATATGTACTGAACAAATATATAGATCTGATGGTGAAATAACGAAATATTTCTCTTGTTAAACCCACTGATAATCTTTGCATGTATTTTTCATAGTTTTTACATGTTTTTTAACATAATTTTGTCTAAAAAAAGGCTAAACCCCCATAATAGCTTCTGTTTGTATCGACCAGAACTGATATAGACAGTTTAACTGCGTGGATGGTATTTATATTGGATCAAAGCTTTATGTTTGCAACAATTCCCGTTTCTTTTGTCTGTGGATACTTTTAATTATCAAAAGGGATTTGTTTGGGAATAACATTAGAAATGTGGGTTTTTAAACTGATCATCTCATCAAACTGAGTGGAAGTGTTCCCATTTATTGATTTATTACCTAAACGTGGCTGCCAAAATTTTACCCTCAAGTTTCTTTTGCAGCAAGTTATTCGATTCAGTTACTGGTAATTCATAAATTTTGCGAGGTTTTTATTATTGCGAATAATGCGACTAGTTGAGTATAGCAATAACGAAAACTCGCATTTAGAAATCTGACACGTATATAAGTATATGTTACAGGAAAAAGTATTCTCACATTTAGTCTGTCATATCAATATCGCAATAATAACTGCACGCAAAAATTTTTGAATAAATACTTGCAACATGTTTTGAATTAAAGGTATTCTTTAAATTGTTGTTAAATGTTTATTATTGATTGTTTCATGTTGCATACATGTATTGGCTACTTTTAATTTTGAATCAACCTTTGCATTCTCAACTACAGCCTGATGCATATTCATCAACACGTAAACTGTTATCATCTTCCTGTAACTATCTAATTAAAAATAATTCATGGAAGCCATAGATTTGTTTGAAATTTACACACGGCTTAGGACATGTGTAAATTTCCAACAAATCTATTGCTTCCATGAATTATTTCAATTCTAATAGGACAAAAATGGTAATTTTAAAAATTGAAGCGAGGGTGGATATGCCGTGTGTGTTGCTGTTCTATTTTACCCCCTGTTAGATAAAGCTAAAAATTTCCAATAAATATATAGCTTGCATGAATTATTTCTTAAATAAACTCTAGACAAAAATTGTTTAATTCTTTTAATTCTGAAACCCAACATTTGTTATTTTTAATTTACATTTATTTTGTCGTAAGCTACCGTCGGATCCACAGTTGACATTTCGTAACTTAAGGAGCCGCCATGTTGACTTGCTGAAATGAGTAAATGTGCGAATAATGCAATGGAATAGAAAATAAAACAAAACCTACCTGAAAACTCCATTTTAATGCAATATTATTCGAAATTTGAGGGTTCACGTAACGGGAAAACCTTCAGCTTTAGCTTTTTCATTCGTATGACGTCTTGTTTTGAAATGACTTTAATGTGCCAAAAGCATTAGTAGAATTTCGCGGAATTTTATTTTAATTTGATTTTGTACATTTTTCCGAGCTCTAATGCAGTAATTCTTTTTGTTATGCATCAGCATAATAATAAAGGTTCTGTGTTTTTTTTCAATTGCAGCAATTTTCAACACAGCGAAATCGGCATAGCTTTTGCACATAGGTTACGATACATGTGGATTTACGTGGGAGGTATCTTATAACAGTCATAATAATGTACACCTCTGAGCCTGCGCTAAGTATTGATATATCGAGAATTTTATCACGGTGTTATTTACAAAGCAAAAGAAGCACGTCATATTAGAATAGTTAACTTTTTTTTGCAGTTTCAATATATTCTCATTACAAGTATCGCTTTTAAATGACACATCCCTCAATAAATTTTTATTCATTTGCTATGAATGAATTAAAAGTTTGTCAACATATCTACCATTGAGACATTTCAGAGGGTCTGAGCAATATAATTTTGCGATAAGTTGTCATTTTCGTCTATTTGTGGCTTACTCATTGTGAAAGAACTTGTTATTTGTTTTTTTTTTTGCTTGTTTTTTTGCTTATTATATTGTTTAGTTTAATACTTTGGTTTTGTTTTAATACTTTGGTTTTGTATGGCATTCGTGTTGGTTATGATCTTCAAGGTTTTGATCAATTTTAGAAAAACACTTAATAGGGTTTCTTGTCATTAATTTGCTGGTGTGATTTCACAATATGATTCAGTGTCAATTATTAATTGGAACATTAAGCCATTTTCACACCTTTACTTTGAGATAACTTATGATTATTGATTATTTGTTTTCGCTTTTTACTATAACGCATGTACATCTAAACTTTACATGAACTTCAACAATTATAAAGATTATATTTTAGTTTATATATCCAAGTTGAAACGATATTCCAGAGCTTGTATTTCGTATAATGATTTCCTTCATAGACGGTTGCTGCTTACACGGAAGATATTAAACCAATAGTTCCAAGTGATAAAGTTGAAATCATCCCTTCGAAAAAAATTTACAGACGCTATCACGAGTTGGTTGATCGTTATTGAATATCCGTTTCACAGATGACAACGCATATGTTCCACTTGTCGTACAAAAAATGTAACCACATTCACGTCCTCTTATCCTCGAATGTGACCTTCCGAATTAGACTTACCAGCGGGTTTGTGCTTACATTATCAAACAGACGAGTGCCACAAGTGAAGCAGGATCTGCTTACACTTTCTGTGCACCTGAGATCACCCCTACTTTTGATGATTCGTGCTGCTCTTGTTGTAGTTTTTAATGATGAATGTATGTGATATTTATAACGGTACCCGTATTGTCTGTTATATGTCATGAAAATATAAAAAGAAGAAGATGTAGGATGATTGCCCATGAGACAACTTTTCACCAGAGACCAAATGACATATAAGTTAACAAAAATTTTCAACTTTCAAAAAGTTCACATTTGGTAAGATTCAGGGTTATATGACCGATGGTTTATAAATTTCGTGATGTCTTAAGGTTAGATAAAAGTAAATCAAAATTACCAATCCGTTATTGCGTGATTGCTTATCACTTGATATAACGTACAAACATAATTTATAGGAGTAACACGACGGGTGTCATATATGAAGCATGATATGCTTGACATTGCGGAGCACCTGAGTTATCCCCCGGTTATTTGGTGGGGTTCGTGTTGCTTAGTCTTTGTTTTTTTTTTATTTTGTGGTTTGTTTACTGTTGTTTGACTTTTGATTGTTTTAAGTTTTTTGTCATGGCATTGTCAGTTAATATTTGACTAACCAGTTTAGATGTCCCTTTGATATCTTTTGCCTTTCTTTTAAACTCTAAACCCGTGCTTTCAATTGAAAGATTTGTAAAATTGATTGATAGTTGATGATTTGCTTAAACTCGTCGAAGAATGCGTTTGATGCAAAAAATTACAATACAGTATATCAGATTTCGTTTATGTGCAAAGAACGTGACACCATATGGAAAGGATTTAACATGCTTACATATATTTATTTAGGTTATTATTCATACATAGATTCTTCGATAAAAGATGCGTTTCTTGAAGACAATAAATTACAAAAAAAAAAAATGTATTACCATTACTGAACATCTTACGATCACCTTTTATCCTAGATATTTTTTACAGATATGTTCAGCTTTCCTTCTTTTTCTAGCCTTCGTTACGTATTATATAATTGCATTACTTATATAAAGCATAATGACACTATAATTTTCCTCCACAAAATTTCAAGAAAATTAATGTTAAAGAATAGACATTAATAAAATGCCATCATATTTCCTAATCAAGCCGAAAAATCCACATCATTGTAAACGAGTTGTTGCAATTTCGATCTCCTTTTAACAACTCAAGTATCATAACCTATTATGAAACTGATGTTTAGTGCAGAAAATCTAATAAAAAAGTATCAGCGAATTCATCTGCAAACACCTTCGTGTATATATAACTTAATCAGGAAAATTATATATAAACGTATGATATAAATTCATAGATCACGTCTTAATATACATCACGTATATATCAGTTACACTGAAAGTGTAAGCAGATCCTGCTTCACTTGTGGAAGCCGTCTGTTAACTTATATGTCATATAGTCGTAAGATTTTCAGCTTTAAAACCAGGTTTAATCCATCCTTTGCTACATAAGAAAATGCCTGTACCAAGTCAGGAATATGACAGTTGTTTTCCATTAGTTTGATGTGTTTGAGCTTTTGATTTTGCCAATTGTTTAGGGACTTTCCGTTTTGAATTTTCCTTGGAGTTCGGTATTTTTGTTGTTTTACTTTTTAATGTGCACAAAACAACTTTCATCAGGTAGGTTTGAGACCAAAGTAACTAAACCTGATACAAATATAGATTAGCTACAACTTTTTATTATCTTATTGATAATATAGGAATAACTTTCTCGTCAGCAATTTGGTGACAGGAAGAAGAGGGCCTTTAACTTCAATTCAGATTTACTTAGTTTACTTGATGTGCATGCATCATTTACTGTTAAATCATTTCATATTCAAGCAAAAACGATGAGTTATTTTTGTATATCGGACGTTAGTCGTATATGTACTATCACATGTGTTTATACTACATTTAGATTTTGTTCAAGTTTTGGATTAGTTTTTAGATTTAAATGCTTCAATCGTTTAATTGCAGATGTAGCTTCACACTAGTAAACAAGAATTCAACAGTTATGTGGTACAAGCTATTGATGTTGGTAAGTCAACGACGTTTTATCATAATTATTCGAAACATTGCTTTGGATATATCCCTTCCTGCTTTTGTTGACAAATATATATTTGAGCTTGTATATGTGCTTTTTATCTGACCAATAACAACTTATATTATCGATTGTTTTGGTTTGATGTACATAAAAGCCATTAAATACCCAGTTTTTGTCAAAGATTTTACAATTATGCTAATTATTTGAAATATCGTAATCTTCTATGTTATAGAATACTTGATTCAATAAACAACTATTCAAGTATTATTTTAATGCAGCAATTTTATTAGTTTTATGGGGTTTGTTTCAGTCATCAAATTGGGTATTGCTTTTTGTTTTGTTGCTTGTCAAGTTTTATTATTTTTATATAGAATAAAAGGCGAACCTTTTGTTTTTAAAACAACGACCACTGGCAACTATTAGCATTCAATGATTTCATATAACAATGTATATATAAACAATTATCGTTTGGTTAATTGTGAGTCGGAATTCTGTAATACCAATATTTTTTGCTTTTTCGTTAGCCTTTCATTGATAATTGTGATATAATATCTATTGTTCTACTACTGATCAAGATAATACAAAACGGTTGAATTCCTACTGAGTATTAGCCCCCCTCTCTTTAATGTAAAAAAATCACAACCAATCTGATTAGCATGCTGTATCTTAAATATCTTGAAAACTGATAACTTGGTGTTGGTGCTTGATATTTTTTTGCCATCTCTGTTGTATTCTTTAGCATCTTGACTAGATAAAATAAAACATCTAGAGCTTGCCGTACGTCGTTTGAGCTTGTTCATCCGTGTAATTACATGTAAATGAGCAATTTTGTTAACTTGCGTTTGTTGGATGCCGATTTTGACATAAAAAGGAGAAGACAAACTTTATTTTTTCATAAGAAATGTACAAGATTTTAAGGAACATATACATCAATGCCAGGACATATAATAGGTAAACAGATACCATTGCTAGAATAAGAGTAACAAATGTTTCAATGCAGATAAATATAAACATATGCATGTATCATTGCTTTATTTTAGATACATTTATGCGCAGCATTTCCGCTGAAATGTCCTGAAACAGCGCAATGGGCACTACGTGCAAATAGTCTCTGTGCGGATCCATCAAAATATTTTTGTTTAAGGAATGATCTTATCAACGGATATTCTGAAAACTGTACAAGGTCCGACTTTCAGCAACCAGGTAAGTGCATTTAAACAACATCAGAAATTACATTTTTTCATTTACAAAAAGCTACATGATTATCCTAAACATGCTCACGTCTGTCATATTTGTTTTTCGTAAATTGTTTTGTTATAAATTAGGCCGTTAGTTTTCTTAATTTAATTGTTTCATATTTTTCATAAAGGGGCCTTTTATAGCCGACTATACGGTATGGATTTTTCTCATTGTTGAAGGCCGTACGGTTGCCTTTAACTGTTTACATCCACTTTATTTGAACCTTGGTGGATAGTTGTCTCATTAGCAATCATACCACATCTCCTTATTTGTATATCAGAACGAAAACCACACGTCCATTTAAATCATAAAAAAAAAACAGATTTATAGTTTCGTTAACCAGATTCGCGTTTTGTCCAGATTAGACTCATCAGTTGCGCTCGAATCAAAACCTACTTTCGAATTTCGACCGTAAAGCATTTGTATTTACGAACTTTGTTTGTTTTCATGTTAACTCCAAACACTGTATGTCTTGTTTCGAACACAAAACACTAACATTAACGCAAGTCTATTGAATGACTTCTCATTTAAGGTGAATCATCGGTATATATTTCCTCGGATGGTATTCTCTAAAACTTTCCAAAGTTATGACTTTATCATGCTTTTTCAAAAATATAATAAAAAGTATGGGTCACCGTGCTATTTTTCAAGTTTTGCCCAAATTTGCATATAGTATTCATGAAAAAAAACCTTTTTTGTGAATAAAAAGAAATCTATGAGACAGAATTTTGAAATAAATATCAGAAGATAGGTTTTATAATATATGCATAAATATATGCTTTAAGAAAATAAATAAAATAAAAACAATGGTGTCACCGAACTTGTTTTCTTGCTACAAGTATAAAATAAAAATTTCATTAAAATTCCTTTACAAAATGTTTTCAATTTAAGTTATCTCCCCTTAAACGCTAAATTGATAAAAGATATTCTAACAAACACCAATGTTTTGTATTTGATAAACAGTCTAAATAATGCAATAAATCACTATTTTTTTCTTTATTAAAAAACATTTATTGCCAAGCTTTCTCAAAATTTGCAGATTTAAGCAAAGAACTAGACCGGTTGTGTACTGTTATTTTACCAAAGATGCTGTATATAGTTAATCCACCTTAATTAGAACTGCTTATATACAATCTTTAGATATATAGATAGATCTTTATTCTCGTTAACTAAATTACATAGTTTTTACAAATATGATATTATACACACGTGTGAAAATTGCGGGTGGGGAAATTTCATAAATAAATGTACTTTAACCAGGAGGACAGACTTTCACTAATAAGTAATTAATAAATCTTACACAACTTTTCTAGTAAAACAATATTGACTGTAGTGAATACATTATTGAATTAAAGAATAATAACATTTGTACAACACTATTGTGGTAAATATCTATACCGTTTTTTTTTTAATAAAAGGACAACACATTACATAATGGAATTCATCGTCGATGCCACAAAGGTGGCACACTCTATCTGGTCTTGGAACATTATGCCACCTTCCCGAAACTCATCGAAAACACATTGAAATAAATATATAATTTACAGTATAATCATAGGTGCAGTAAAGTCGATATGTGCATTTGATTGATAGAATCATCAAACGAAATAAGCATTGATCCCTTAAAGATGATGTTTCTTAAACGCATGTAGTAGAAGCACTAAAGCAAAACAGAAAAGTTCTACACATTGTAAACGATAAGCACATTATTGCAAGAAAAAGGATGACAGTAAAAAGCACGTTTGTAGATTCGCTAGGAAGAGAATGATACTACGAACCAACTTATTCATTACAGGTAGAAAAGCAGTTCTTCGTGGAGGAATAGATGCAGATATATGTTCTAAAGAAAGATATCAACCATTCCCACTCAGGTTTTACACAAATGTTAGTACACATTGTTTATTTTTTAAATCATTCTGCAATGAGGAGGGTCAAGTTGTATATGACCGTGGAAACCGTAACACTGATACTACATGCAGATGTGACTACAGACGAGGTTATGATTTCCTTGTTAAACCAAACAACCTATGCTTTTGTAAACCACAACATGAAGATTGTTCCTGCTACTTGAAGACCTGTTCCAATAAAAGAAAAATATTTTCACCGGGTAAGAATAATTTGCTTTCAGCTTCGAGAAAACAAAAAGTGATATTTATATCTTTTAGTAAACATTTCGTTTTTATTTCGTCGAAATCTATAATTTCAATAGTTTTTAAATTCAGTTGTTTGTTTACATGTAGACATACATTGTACAAAACAACCAATTTTGTTTTCTTCAATATTCTGTTTACACTAGGAATTGAGTTGTAGTCCTAAACAAACCATTTTGATCTTAGTATCATCTGAACAGCTTAAAACTATAAACTTTAAGTCTTGACTATAGTTTAAAGGGGCATTTGCAGTCAAATTCTTGTTCACCGATTTGACTCAAATTCTCATATTTGATTTATAACATACTAATACGTATATCAAAGTTATAAATGCATTGGCTCGATAATATGTATCAGCATTTCGTGAGTATTTTAGTCTAGACGCCATCTAATTAACCATCGAGGTGACCTCCGAAGACTTCCGACGGTCATATAACCCGATATGAAAATAAATATAGATATAAACAGATAGCGAACTCGTGCAATTGATTTTTCTAGGTCTGTTTGATTTCATATAATAGGTTAAAAATATATTTTAATCATCGTTTTTACCTGTATAAGAATGAGTTTTTGTGGATCGAATCAGTCAATCAAATGGTTTACCCTTGTTTCACTTTCAATGTTGACATTCTTATCCTTTTAATAACTAAACACGCCTATTTCATGCGTAACCCATCTCTAGCTAAGGGGTTAAATTGAAGGTAACATGAATACCGATTCATTGAGGTCGAATTATTCACTTGCAAGTGAATAATTCATCAGCGATGTTTCTTAGCTTATTTTGACAAAATTGAACCAAACTGGCTTCTAAATGCGAATAATTATTTCACTACTTCACTTTCATTTATGATTGAACAAAAAAAAATATCATATTTTAATTTATTTTATATATCTCGTAGCTAATACCCCTTTAAACTGAGCGGCGATATAAGAAAATACATGTCAAACTATTTTTAAGGATAGAGAGCATAGTTATCAGAAGTTCAAAATAGAATCATAGTTATTACTATACCATAAACAAAATATAAATTTTACCTATATAAATCGCTAAATATTATATTTTTTTCTCTCAAGAGGACGGATAGAAAAATAAAAAATATACTAAAAGTCAGGTAAATCATTGTTACGCTAAAATAATTAATTAATTATTTATTGTTCATTTATTTCTGTAAGCGTTGTGTTCTGGTATAATTTCCATTTTTGTCCACTGAACACTCGTTCCGTTTAGACATTTCTGAAATCAAAGCTCCGATGATAAGTCATAAATTCAAAGGTTTTGACTTTCCGGAACGCATAAAATGAATGTTCAGAATAATTGAAGCAATGCATGTTGGTCCGAACATATGACTTCACGGACCATGATAATGTTTACTAGTAATTAAACGTCTTCAACAGTTGATGAGAATTCTTTTACAACCCTGATAAAAGAAAAATACATTGAAATGTCAAATAAAACTCTTCAGTTCATTTTTGTTCACTCGTATTCCAGTTTGGAAATTGGTTATGGATAACTTCCTTATGCAAACAGATTTCTATATACTCTGTTAGCAAGATTATCTCAATTCCCAACTGTAGGTTACAATCAACCATTAGATTTTATGGGCGCAGCCATTTTATGAGCATAACATGGTATTCAGAATTAAGAGTAAAGCTAATCCTGATTGGTTTATATGTGCGCCCGTTATATTTTGTTATTAGAGACTTCATGCATTCTGCATTATACCAAAGGCCAAATAAATTATTTTCCTAAGCCCTAACGGAACTGATATGTCTTTTAAACGCTAGGATGAGACACGTATTTTAAGTGCAAAATTGATAGGCATGGGAGATAAGTACAAATTACGCTAAGAAAAGCAACGCGAACCTATATTTTTAGACCAAAAAATACTGTCCTAATAACTTTTCTTTAATTCTAGCAAGGTTTCGTTAAAAAAATCAACTTTCTAAAGCTGTATCTCAAAAAAGGCTATCATTGTCGCCTATGGGGAAATTATTTGTTTATTTCAATCTATACAGCGTCGACATTTCTTCATCATAGTGCTCAGAAAGTGTCAAAAACAGTATTTTACTTGATATTTGATGTGAAACCGTATTTTTTCGTGACAAATGAATTATTGTTTAACTAGTTTTTAAGCTATAGTCTGTTTCATATTTGTATTGCGTTTTACCTTAGAAACAAGGGTGGGTTCGACTTTTGACTTACTGTGGAGAGAATATAAAATTGAGAATGGAAATGGGGAACGTGTCAAAGAGACAACAACCCGACCATAGAACAGACAACAGCAGAAGGTCACCAACAGGTCTTCAATGCAGCGAGAAATTCCCGCACCCGGAGGCGTCCTTCAGCTGGCCCCTAAACAAATATATATATACTAGTTCAGTGATAATGAACGCCATACTAAACTCCAAATTGTACATAAGAAACTAAAATTAAAAATAATACAAGACTGACAAAGGCTAGAGGCCTATATGTCATTTTCTGAACTTCTGCTGATTTGTTTGAAAAAATTCAGTGAAAATGTACAGAAATGATCCCCTTCGAACATTGAAATGTTCACTCGAATGACAGACTATGAAAATTAGAATAGGTATGAGATTTCGTAGTTAACAAATAGTTTTTGATGTTTAAACACAAATATTTACACATTTTTCATATTTTGAAATGCTATAGTCTGTTTCAAAAATGTACTTGTATACGAAAATGATTTCATTTAAAACTGTTGTTCAAAATTCACGATAGTAGTTACATATTGGATCGGTTTTGGTATCAGTATGATCAGTACTTGATGACATATAAAGAATAATGGAGAAAGTGGACATTATCTTCAGGCCCTTTTTAGCAGTACCGCATTTACTCAAAAAATCAGAATTTGTTTTTCACATTTTTTGACTGGGGTCACCTCTGATAAAAAATTGTGAAAATTCAGAGAGTAATGCCAGAACGTTTTGAAGATGATTTTTGTGTGGCATATATATTTGTGCATCTTACGAACTATGAATTGAATGATTCTAGAAAGTATTAAATACCGTATACAGCGTCGACATTTCTTTATCATAGTGCTTAGAAAGTGTCAAAAACAGTAATTTTACTTGATATTTGATGTGAAACCGTATTTTTTGGTGACAAATGAATTATTGTTTAACTAGTTTTTAAGCTATAGTCTGTTTCATATTTGTATTGCGTTTTACCTTAGAAACAAGGGTAGGTTCGAATTTTGACTTACTATGGAGAGCATATGTCATTTTCTGAACTTCTGCTGATTTGTTTGAAAAAAGCACGTACACGTTTAGAGTTTGGACATACAAATCGGTTTTTAAACATGTCAATCTCGATCCAAATGCTGTTATCGAAATTACCAAATTCAGTGAAAATGTACAGAAATGATCCTCTTCGAACATTGAAATGTTCACTCGAATGACAGACTATAAAAATTAGAATAGGCATGATATTTTGTAGTTAACAAATAGTTTTCGATGTTTAAACACAAATATTTACATATTTTTTATATTTTGAAATGCTATAGTCTGTTTCAAAAATTTACTTTTATACGAAAATGGTTTCATTTAAAACTGTTATTCAAAATTCACCGTAGTAGTTACATATTGGCTCGGTTTTGGTATCAATATGATCAGTACTTGATGACATATAAAGAATCATTGGAGAAAGTGGACATTATCTTCAGGGCCTTTTTAGCAGTACCGCATTTACTAAAAAAATCAGAATTTTTTTTTTCAAATTTTTTGACTAGGGTCACCTCTGATAAAAAATTGTGAAAATTCAGAGAGTAATGCCAGAACGTTTTGAAGATGGTTTTTGTGTGTCATATATATTTGTGCATCTAACGAACTATGAATTGCATGATTCTAGAAAGTATTAAATACCGTATACAGCGTCGACATTTCTTTATCATAGTGCTCAGAAAGTGTCAAAAACAGTAATTTTACTTGATATTTGATGTGAAACCTTTTTTTTTTGTGACAAATGAATTATTGTTTAACTAGTTTTTAAGCTATAGTCTGTTTCATATTTGTATTGCGTTTTACCTTAGAAACAAGAGTGGATTCGACTTTTGACTTACTGTGGAGAGAATATGCCATTTTTAACCGGATTTTCGAAGGAAATATCGGTTATTAAAATGGTGATATACGGCGGGCGGCTGGGCGGTTTGGCGGCTGCCAAAATAAGATGAAAACGCTTTAACAATTTTTTTTCAAATTTAAATATGTTGTTTCCTGGGACTTAATGAAGGTCTATATTAATTTTCAAGATTTTAGTATATCTCCTTTGTGAGTTATCGCCATTTTTAATATCCAAAAGTAGAATTTTTAAATATTTTATTGTTGTTGTCATGTTATGATTTGTCTTATCTCAGAATAAAAATTGGAGTGACAGATTTATTTGAAAATTATCTATTTCCTAAGTGGTAATGATTATAAGCTATATCATTAGACATTTTGAAGATTATTACATTATTAATTATGTTAGAGTACTATGTTAAACAACCATAGTTCTGTTCAATTAGATATTATAAATATTTCAGCATATGATAATGATTAATTTTCATTATTAATTAGATCTTGGAAATATTTTAGCATATGATAATCATTGGAGTGACAGATTTATTTGAAAATTTTCTGTTTTCTGATAAGATCTGTAGGACTGTATGTATACAGTTTGAAACTTACTAGTATTACTGTATAAATGAAGTTTTGAATTTACTGTTCATTATTAGACATTTTGTAGATTATTAAGTGTCCGTTTATCATATATATTCTTACCCCTACTCCCTTCAATTTGATAATGTGCTTTTATCTTGTAAACGGTTGAGATCCCTACTCCTAAACCATATATATTCTTGTATGGGACAATAAATCAAATCAAATGAAATATTGGGATAGTCCTCGGGTTCACAGCTACCCTCCTTTTTTTGTTGAAAACTTGTAAATGTGCAAGCTC